TAAATGAAGTAAACAGTCTCAAGTTTTTATTGTCTTCATAATAAAACAAAATATGAGGCTGAGAACTGGATCCCTTGGCCCTTTCTCTTCTTATCTCTTCCCAGTTCAAAATGCCTGCATCTCTTAAGAGCCAGCATTCTCTTAGATCTGCAGTTGGGCTCAACGCATTCAAGCCTCAGCACAATCTTCTTTGTAGTTTTAGCCTTTTTCCGGAAAATCGGCTCAGTCTGCCCACCATAGCCACTCTGCTTCTGTCAGGACGCCGCTGTCCCTGGGCACACAGAGAATCCTTGCCCTTGTACTGTGTCTCTTTGTGGGGCCGGTGGGTTTTAGGAATGCTCACCATGTCTGAGAGAGCACTGTCGGCGCGGAAGGAAGGTGAATGTCTTTTTTTAAGGGGTGAAATCACTTGCTGTTTATTTTTTGGTACAACGAGAAAACAGTGGGATATTGAATATGGGAGGCTTTGATTGTCTTGGGTGTCAGCTTAACATTCCACAGTTGGGAGGTAGCTTTTATATCCTATAATACAAAGCATACTACATGGCAATTTGGAGTCAGTTGCGCATTCGATGTCTTGAACACTTTAAATTACTTCTCTTCCCACGTTGTTTTCGGTAGAATTGTTTCCTAAAGCAAACCACTCACCCCTTGATCTTGGCTCTCCTGGGCAGAGTTTTGCGCACTCTGTAACAACTTTGGTCGTGACAGTCCAGTTCTTCTAGTAACTTTGTTAATGTGCTGTGAACGATTGACAATTTGAGTATGTAGTGTATGTGATATTAAATTGTGAAATAGTGGACCAAACGTAAAATAGATAGCTAGTGGGAAGCAGCCACATAGCACAGGGAGATCAGCTCGGTGCTTTGTGACCGCCTGGAGGGGTGGGATAGGGAGGGTGGGAGGGAGGGAGACATAAGAGGGAAGAGATATGGGAACATATGTATATGTATAACTGATTCACTTTGTAATAAAGCAGAAGCTAACAAAAATAAAAAAATAAATTGTGAAATAGTGGGACTTCTGATGTAACAGCATATCAGTATTTGAAGATATTGGTACTTGATATCCCGTCAAGGAAAATTGCCTCCACATTTTAGGCTGGAAAGTCACTGGAATAACTGTTCAGAAAAGAATCACAATGACGATTTTTTAGATTTTTGGTACATACGTTAAGAATTGTCTACAAATTGAAATGTCTGTGTACTGATCCTCAAAACAACCAGCAAAATTTAAATTATGAAAGAAAAAACAATAAAAAAAGACAGTACCCAGTCTGTGTACTTTGCATCCCTGGACGTTACCCCAGCCCCTCCCCAACTCCAGCCCCCTAGACAGGGTGGAGAAGCCAGGAGGGGGTCTGTGTGTCACGGGTCCAGGCCCGTGCCTGCCGGGGTCAAGAGCCATCCCTGGAGAAAGCTGTGCCATGTCCCCTCACCCTCCTGAGGAGGGACTGGGGCAGTTATGTCCTCTGCAGGCAAAGGAGGGGCTCCCAGGGGGTCACCAGGAGTGTGATAGAGTCCCCTGCAGGGAGGCCCAAAACTGCCCGGTGCCAAGGTGCCCAGAATCTGCGCCGGATGCTCAGGGGCAGGGTGGTCTGAGAGTCCCCACGCGTGGGAGAGAGGACAGGGCCGGCTCAGACCAGGGGAGAGAGCCTGGAGCGGGACAGACCTGGGCAGAGATATCAGCTACAGCGAGCGCCAGAGAAGGGCAAGGACCCGCTGGAGGGGCTTCCTCCCCCGGCTGGGGGCTGAGGGTCCCATCGCCCAGCAGGAAGGGCCCCCGAGGAAAAATGGGCTCCAAGACCACACAGCAGGGCGAGGGGAGCTGGCTCTGCAGCCCCGAGTGGCTCCCCTCCTTCCCTTCGTCCCACCGGCACTGATGGTGCAGCTGGCAGGACCGCGGAGGGAGGGTGGAAGTCCGAGGCTGTGCCGTCAAGAAGCTGGACTGTCCTGCGGCTGCCCTAACAAGTGCCAGGGACACGTGGCTGAGACAACACAAAGTGTCACCCCACAGCTGTGGAGGCCAAATCGGGAGTGAGTCTCACGGGCCACAGTCACCATGTGGGCTGCCCGCTTCTCGCCGCAGGCTCCGGGCAGAGTCTGATCCTCGTGTCTTTCAGCCGGAGGCACCGCATCCTCAGCTCGTGGCCTAGCGTCTGGCTTCCCTCTTCCTGCGGCCTCCCCTTCTGTGGCCGAGTCTCCCCGGCCCCTCTCCCAAGTCCCACTCGGATGACTCAGGACCATCCCCCATCACAAGACCCTTACTTTACTCCCGTCGGCAAAATCTCTTTGCCGTGTGAGGGGACGCATCACAGTCTTGGGGTCGGGCCGTGGGCATCTCTGGGGGACCACGGAAGGTCCCCTCGAGGCTCTTTCCCACCCATCAGGAGGCAGAGGAGCCCTGCTTGCCAGTGGAACATCTCGTTTCCATTTAGACTCCGGGTGGGGGGACGTGGGGCACCACATATCAGTTGCTGAGCAGAAGACCTTTTCACCTAAAAGGGGTCAGTTCAGGAAGTGACTTGCCCTTAATCCACGCAGAGCAGGGTGAGGACTGATCTCGTAAGTTCAGGGGACAGAGTGGGGTCCCTCGGGCTGAGCGCTGGGAGCTCGCCCCTCGGCCAAGAGGCCGGCCGCCTTCCCATGTTCGGGCACCCAGGGCAGGGCAGGAGAGCTAGAAGTACCCGGAGGCCTGACAGGAGGGGGCCACACATACAATGGGCTTGCAGCTCACGGGCACACACACAGCAGGCTTGTGGCTCAAAGGCACACGGCAAGAAGCCTGGCAGAAGCTGCGCACACAGGAGGCCAGCTGGCAGCCCTCAGAGCAGCTGGCGTGGCACACGGTGGCATGGGGCTGGGTGCGGTCAGGGCAGAGGACAGGGCTGGTCCAGAGGCTCCTTCCCCAGGGCAGCCTTCATACTGGGCTGTGGCGTCCTGGCCATGCAGCACCCAGATGTCTTCCTCGTAGCGGCCTGTTGTCTTTCCTCCTCGTCCCCCCCTCGGGTCTCTTCCTGGGGTTTCCACTGGCAGTGATTCAGTGCAGGAAGCTCCTTCTCAGCCGGAGGCTGACGGTGACCCAGCGGCCCTGTGATTTCTGGAATCGGAGCCTGGGTTGGATGGGGAAAGGCCGTCAGTTGGGGACAGGGGCCCCACTTCATGATTTTCAAGGCCCTCCCCAGGTTAAACATCCTGTCCTTTGTCCACAGAAGCAGAGTCACACTCACCGCACCAGCGTCCCCCATTGCGATTTGGAAACTCAGTGATCCAGAAGGTTCTCCCTCAGGGTCGGGCGCCTCACTGGGGGCTGTGGCCACGTTATGGCCATAATCGTAACGGCGGGGTCCCAGCTTTGTGCCAGAGCTGAGCTAAGCATTTTATGTGGACTCTCTCGTAACTAATCAATTATCAATCCTGCCACCATTCAAGGGCAGGATCTGCACAGATGTTCAATCAGGAAGATCTGGAAGGATCCCAGGACGTGTGCACGTTCTCACCACTGCAAACGGAGAAGCAGGCATTGAGGCTGCCCAGCCTCACTCTGGAATCCATGGTCTTTCCATTGTGCCTAACGGTGCTGGGACCTTAGGGGTCCCAGCTGAGGGACCCAGCTGAGATTCTTGGATCTGTAAACTGGAATATTTTAAAATCAGATTTGGGGATTTTGTCCAGTATTTCTTCAAAATATTCTTAGGCTTCAATGTCATTCTCTTCTCCTTCTTGGGTTGAAATTCCTTGCGTGTTAGCCCTTCTGATATGGTCTCATAGGCCCTCTTCATTTTTCTTGACTCTTTGTGCCTCTTCTTCAGATTGGATTCTTTCTACTGATGTGTCTTCAACTCACCGAATCTTTCGTCTTCCATCCATGATCTGAGCCAGTCCCTCTGCACCCATTCCCTAGCACCTCATGCTGCTCCTGGAACACGCCGGTTTCTGCAGCAGGGTCCTCACAGCCCCTTGACTGCCACAGCCTGGAGCACCGTCCCTGACCCTTCACTGCACCCAGTGCCAGTTCAGCATCACTGCCTCCCTGAGACCCCCAGACCACCCACCAGCACCCACTTCTGTCTGTTGAACCTGCTTTCCTTTCCAGGCCTCAGCGCCCCCCGGAATGATTCCATGCATTCATTTTCTATTTATTCATCGCCCTGGAAAGCTCATGAGGCTGGACATCTCTGTTGCCTGCCCAGAGCATAATCTGTTGCATGAACAAATCAGTTCTTGTACGATGACGTAAGGCAGAGCTGGCAAACTTTCTGTAAAGGGCAGAGGCTTTGCAGCCACACCGTCTCACTCACAACGACTCAGCGTTGTCGGGGAAAAGCAGCCTTAGACACACTAAATGCACAGACATGTCTGTGCCCCAGAGAACTTCATTCACACAAAAGCAGCAGGACAGACTTGTCTCACAGACGGCAGTTTGCAGACTTCTCCTTCAATGTTTTCCTGTGCGAGATAAAAACTCAAAATACATGACGGCCTCAAAGTCTTCATTTGACGGCATGAGATAAAAAGGAGTAAAAGGGTACCGCACTCTGAGTGGATCCTGGGGTGCTCTGTGCACAGCGATGGCCTGGAGAAACACCACAAACCCCACGGGAAGGCAAACCAGAACATCCTGTTTGCAGAAGGAGGAACTGGCCTCAAAGCCAAACTAGTTTATGGTGGAGAACAGCACAGGGAAGCACGTCCCAGGATAATAAGATGCTGGGGAAGCACGATGACAGCAGCCACGAGGAAGTCAACAGCTGTGCTTCTGTGTCGCTGGGACGCCCATGGCCTGGGTATAAAGGCCCCCAGGGAGGCAGCCTGCAGACATCACCACCCTCCTCCCGACACCAGCCCAGCCCCATGCCACCGTGTGCCACACCAGCTGCCCCTCGGGCTGCCAGGCTGCCTGCTGCGTGCCCAGCTCCTGCCAGCCATCCTGCTGCACGTCCAGCCCCTGCCAGGCGACCGGCATGCCCGTGAGCTGCAAGCCAGTTGTATACGTGCCCGTGAGCCGCAAGCCTGCCATGTGTATACCCGCGAGCTACAAGCCTGTGCGCGTGGCCTCCTCCTGCCATTCCTCTGTGTGCCGCCAGCCCTCCCGCCCCACCCTGCTCTGCAGACCCACCCCCCTAGCATCCCTTCCGGCCTCTGATCACGAGGCTCCTCCCAGCTGCTCCCAGCACAGACGGGGTCACACCTGTACCCCTCCCGGCACGAGTCCTCGGTGGGCCTCCAGGTTCTGCATGTGGCAGACGGCAAGCACGCTCAGCCAACCCTCTGAACTCGGGCGAGGAGGTGGCAGGATGATCTGGGCCCTTCCGTGAGCTGACGCATTCCCCCTGGGAAGCCCTGGTCCCTGGGGTCCTCCTCTGTCTCCAGCAGGAAACCATGCCCCATGTGAGCCAAGTAAACCATGCTTTCTCAAGGCAGCCTGTCCCCCTGTTTTAGCTTCACATATTTTTGAAGCTTCCTTCCTGAGAGTATATACAAATCACAAGCACGGAAGACCCTCCTCAAAGAGCCCTCTTCCCAATGGCTCAGCTGAAGGTCCTTGGTGGGTGGAGGGTGGGGGAAGGTGTGTCCTCACGTCCACCACTCGACTCACATTGTGGATGGGGAAGGATTTCCCCTCCCTCTGAGTGGGGCACAGGAAACAGGCCTGGGTCCAGGGTCCCACCTGGTGCCTAAAGGATGTCTATACAGGGAGGGCTGGAAACATTCACACAAACCCACCACACACATAAAAGGGGGTCCGGCCATCCCCGGGAGAAGAGGCAGGAGCCTGAGAAAGCCTCATCCCCAAGCCCCAGGCACACAGGGCCTGCCAAGGCTGACCCTGGGCCAGGACCAGAGACCCTTCCCTGCCCCCTGGCTCCAGCCTGGCCAGCACAGATGCCTGAGCAGCATCGTTCTCCGCCAGGGAAAGGCAGATGCATGTAGAGGTCCCTTCTGTGTGCCAGACACGTAGGACAGCTGAAAATATAGGACAGAGTGAAATCGCTCTGCTCCCCAACCCTTGCAAACGGAGAAGCAAACTTGTGTAAATGCTCATAGTATATATATTACATAAGTCTGATAGAGTTGACTGGAAAAAATGCACAACTTGAAAGTTGAGAATTATGTTTTATTTGGTGGACATGCTGCACACTTCAAGCCTGGGACATTGCATCTCAGATCACGCTGAGCACAAGGCACAGGTCCCCACAAGGAATCTGAAGTTGCTGGTACCCTGAAGGTCCTCAAATAATAATAAAACCCAATCCAAGGTCAAAGCAAGTAGATTCAAACCTCCTCTCGCACCGATGACCTGACAGAAGAAGAGACGAGACATACACATTCCCAGAAGGAAACATTGTTTATGCCCATTTAAATCAACACATAATATCTGTTATTCGAGAAAACTAATAGATATACAGAAAAGCAGGGAAAAATCAATCTATTGTCAACAGACAAAGCAATCAACACAACTAGACTGAAAATGACCCAGATGTTGGAGCTGTCGGAATGAAAGTTTAAAATAACTATGAGTAGTGAACTAAGTGAGACAAAGAAAGACAAATACTGTATGATCTCACTTCTATGTGGAATCTAAGGAAGAAACAAAACTCATAGATACAGAGAAGAGATTGGTGATTGTCAGAGGCGGGGAGACGGGTGGGCAAAATGGGTAAAGGGGATCAAAAGGTAAGAACGTCCATTTATAAAACAAATAAGTCCTGGGGATGCAATGTACAGCATGGTGACCATAAGAGGAAAAACATTTAGCTTTAATTATTTATTTTTGTTTAAAGAAATAAAAGAGAGAATTATGAAAGCAGAGTGATAGTCTATTAAAATAGAAGAAAGAAACAGACTTCAGGAGAAACAAATAGAACTTCTAGGAATAAAAAGTCAGGTCATGGAAATTAAAAACTCAGTTAAACAAAATATTAGACACAGCTGAAAGAATTAGAAAAGTTAGAAGGCAGTTGTTCGATATCGCTTATCACTTTCTGGGAGTTGCGTCAGCTGAAGGCGATAGTCTTGACCATGGTCAGACTGCCTTTTCAGGGAAACTCACATCTAATAACTGGTCCAGGATAATAAAGACCTGGGCTGGCGCCCCAGCTCAGGACAGCTCCAAAAGACCCTCCCCTCCACAGATGTTGATCCTGAGAGAGCTCCCTAATAAACCTAATATCTGGGCACCTCTGTCTGCAGCAAAGGACCTGGAAGCAATGGCAGCCCTGTAGCAATGAGTGCCCCAGGATCTCGCATGTGGTTGCTAAATCTCATTTCCCACTAAAAAGGACCAGGTGCTCCCTGAAAGAAAGGTAGGCTACTGGGGCAGGAAATGAGCTTAAGGAGTCTGGGACACCTTGAGCCCCCAAACAAGGAAGCTCTCAAGGACTACTGAGATTATATCAACAGGACACAGGAGCCAACCTGAAGGGGCTCCCACTGATGCGCACTGAAGGAGGAGTAATTTCATCCTGCAAAAGAATAACTCCTGCTGTAGAGTGAAACACACCAATTATATAAAAATCCTTAAGTGCATAAAATACACAAGATTTTATGCATATAAATATATACATATACATAAAATATATATATATATGAGTATATATATAGTTTATAAACATGTATGTATATAATTAGAGATCTATAGAGGTTACTAGGAAACCAAAAATTATTCTGAAAATTGATTTAAAGGACAGAATAAATCATGTATATGGACTTTCCTGGAAAAAGAGTATTTTAGGGTAACCAAATAGGAGTGGAAGGAAAGTTCTTTATAGAAGAATTCCAGGTTATAAATGTAGAAGGGGTGATAAACTTAGATAACCGCCACCTTGCAATGCCCAGTGACATGATAGATCTAAGCCCAGATTCTCAGTGGCTGCTGAAACCGAGCTGAAAGGCTGGCGGGGAACAGACTGACAGCAGCCATCCCAGGGATGACAGCAGTCCCCAAACCGAGGCACCCAGACAGCATCTGCCTTTTGACGTCATACCCTTGGAAGCACACAACTCCTGTGAAGTATTCTCGCCAAAGGAGTTGAACCTGCATTTCAGCCTACCCACAGATCTCCCATTCTGCAAGAAATACAGGAGATGGAGGATTATCTTAAAGAACATCTAAAGACACAAACAACCTAATCCAGAATGTGGAAAACTCTTCAGGACAAATAACTGAGTCTCCTTAACAAACACACGCCGTAAGAATTGCTGTCAATCAGAAGGGACTTAAGAGAAGCAACACCCACGTGTTCTGTGTGAGCCCTGTCTGGATTCTGATCTGAAAAAACCAGCACTTTAAATGTCTTTTTTTAAGACAATCAGAATAAATTGAATAGAATAGGTATCAGTTAACCACTGTTTACAACTCAGTATTTCAAACTCGTGTAAATGCTCATAGTATATATATTACATGAGTCTAATCGTGTTGACTGGAAAAAATGCACAACTTGAAAGTCGAGAATTATGTTTTATTTGGTGGACATGCTGCATACTTCAAACCTGGGACACAGCATCTCAGATCACGCTGAGCGACAGCTCCGAAGAGGCGAGGGGGAGCCAGGATATGTAGGAGTTTTTGCAGCAAAGAGCAGGTAGTCGGAACATCAAAAGATTACTGTTAATTAAAGAAAACCAGACATCTCAAGTTAAGGAATTTAGCGCTTTTCTATGTATGGGAAGATGCAAGAGTCTGGGCTCACTGAAATCATTCCTTTGATGTGCACCTCAGCTCTCTCGGACCAGTCTCCTGCTTTTCTCCATCCCAAATCCCCACAGGGTGCACAGCTGCGGGTGGCTCCCCTGGCTGAGAGGTGGGCAGTGGGCAACCCGTTGGTCTCCATCCCGAGTTCCCTCAGGGCTCACCATCCCAGCTGCTGTAATGTGATGGCTTGATGGCTGCAACATCTTTTGTTTACTGATATGGAAGGCAAAATTATTCATTCACAATAGACACATGTCTATCTATACACACACAGCTTTTTGTAATGTACTTATACTTAATCAATTTGCTCCCCTTGGTAAAATATCAAGGGCTTCTTCCCACCTCCACACACATAGATCTACCTCGTTCTTCTTAATGCCTGAGTAGTATTTCATTACACAGATATGCAGAAATAACGGCATTCCTCTATTAATCACCTTCGTCTAGTCTCCGTTTTTTGCCGTTGTTGCTATTACAATGTGGTCACAAACACCGTCACGCATATCTCTGCGCAAGCATTTCTGTTGGGCTGATTCCTAGGAGAAAATATCCACTTTTCAAAGGAAGTGGAAAGGACCTGGAAAGATCCCTGTCCCAGGCTGCAGTCAGTGTATACACAGCAGAGCTTGATGGAGCCCAAAACCTGGTCTGTGTCGGTCTGTCCAAAAGCTGATCACATCTTCCATCTCCTGCCCTGCCTCCTGCTCTGGGGACTCTTTTAGACGGTGCAATGAACTGACTGTAAAAACCTGGGAAAGGGGTTGCAGCAGCATCCCACCTGGTTGACAGCCACTGCAAATGTCTGCAACGTGCAGTCAGTGAATCGGGAGATCGCCAACCTCCCCATGGTTGAGCGACATTTCTCAGTTGGAATCCAGTAAACTGATGGAGCCCGTCGCCGCCCACTCGGGCCGTCCCGGCAGTAACCAGCTGATGGCGGAGGATGAGACGGCGGGCATGGAAGAATTCCCCTCGGGATTACACTTGGTAACACACACCAGCCGCACCCAGGGGCTTCAAGTTCTCTTCCATTGAATTGAGGACGCAGGGGAAGAGGGGACAACGATGCCTCTTGAGTGGGTGGCCCCGAGAGAGGCTCCCCTGTCTTGTCCCCTTCCAGGGGGCAGTGGGGCTGACCTGGAATAAGAAGGCTTCTTTTCTGGTATCTCCCCCAACCTGTTTTGTCCATCTCCGCGAAGGAGGCGTTGCCTAGCAACTGGAGAGGGGCAATGACGTCCTTGGACTATTCTGTTCCGCTCCTGTGACACTTAACTCTGGTTGATTATTAGCACACGCACTGGGGAGGAGACAACCAGCCTTACAGAAAAACGAGTTCTATGAAGTCACCAAGGGGCAGAAAAGGGACTTCTGGCCTGGCTTTGGGATGGGGTCTGGCCCATAGGAGATTTTTCAGTTCTCAGAAAGAATCTTTCTTCCTAAACCTACAAGATTCCTTGGGCAAGAGGACAATGGGTGCTGAGAAAAGTCTTTGAAATATGAGCCATTCCATTTACTTTCTAATCTGCAAAGCTGCACAGCAAACGCGATCTTTGCTGGCCTCCCTCCCTTGACAGTTATAG